ATCATTCCACTACAGTGAGCATTCGCTCAAAAAGTACCACCTGTTAATATGTGGTATTCACCGGTCATCAACATGACGAGCAACAAGTTTCGTCTAGTGCTTTCCCGTATCCTTCATATACTTCTGATGTAGCATCAGACTGCTTGTTGTCCAATGAATTATCAATAGAAGAGTGTAAGAAATATAAAAGATAACCTGCTCTTCCAAACCAGTGATAACAGCAACAGCCTGATGCAGTACGCCCAATTTTGTCTGCACTTTTTCGCCATGTTGCAGATGCTGTGCACACATTTTGCCAAGCTCCTTAAATGCCATGTTGATATCCTTCACTCGAATCCTGAAATAGGACAAAAGCATAAAACACAGACTGTTTACATTCATCTGGCGTAAGCTCCATCCTCACTGATGAAAGTAGTAAGCTTGATGCAGAGTTAATCTAAAATGACTAGAAAGGACCGAGAAAAGCATTCCTTAAACTTTTTTTTTCATTCTTTCTGACAAAAAAGCCCTGACACAGCCGTACTTGGCACGGAGTAAAATCATGAAATTTATGACTATGAAGAGTGACTGTACTGAGCATATCCGCTGAACTTCTTAGCACATTAAAATTTTCGGATCGTTTCTTAATACAGATAATAGTCGGGTAAGATACCTACGTCTTTTTTAGGGGTGGCACCATTCAAGACGAAATAAGAATACTTAGCATTTTAAGCGGCTAAAGCTTTTCTAGGTGTTTCTGTCGGGAAAACCGTTGAGCTGGTAGCCCCTTCAAGAGACGAAACGAACATCAGGATCGCCAGTAGACTGACCACTGTACAATGCAACATTGGTCAAAGCAATTGGAAAAGCTGCCAGCTACACAGACTGAGAATCAGACTATGATTCAGGGCTGATTCAGTTTTTTTTCGGGATATCATAATTCCAAAAATTTCACCTCTCCCTCGCATTATTGGCGCTGCGGCGATCTGCCTCACGATCGTCGTTGGACCTAGTATCCTCGTCGGAA